CAGATCAAAGAGCATATGCATCAACAGTTTGGATTTTACTACCATAGCAAAAAGAAGAAATCAAAAAATTATGTAAAGCTTGTTGCTGCTTAGAGTGAAGCAATAATTAAGTAAAAAAGATGAGTCACCTTAAGAAAACTATTGAATAGAGGATAGTTCAGTTGATATAAAATATTCTATGGAGGTACTCAACAATTTAGTGGGGTTTGAGATGCTAGAACTAGGGATAAATATGCTGAGTAATCCAGGCACAGAAAAACACTCACGTATATGTAGGATCTTAAAAAATGTTTATCTGATAGAAACTGAGACTGGCAGTTTGCTTACTAGAGGCTGGAAGTGAAGCCTAGAGGAAAGGATAGAAAAGGTGGACCAATGAGTACCAAGGTACAGTCAGGTAGAAGGAAGAAGTTCTGTGCTCTTGCATGATGGGGTAATTAAAGATAATATACTATGTATTTTTTAAAAAGCTAGAAGAGGGCTAATTTTTGTTTTGTTTTGTTTAGTACCAGGGATCAAACTGAGGCCCTTGTGTTTGCTAGGCAGGCACCAGAACCACTGAGCTAAATTCCCAGTACTAAAATCATATTGCAGTGATATATGTGCATCTATGTTTATAGCTTCACAGTTTGTAATAGGTAAAATTTAGAAATAGCCCATTTGCCCATCAGTTGGAAACGGGATAAAGAAGATGTGGTTTTTCTGTAAAATGGAACACTACTCAGCCATAAAGAATGAGAAATTAGATTCATTCATAGGAAAATTGATACATATTGAGAATATACTACTAAGTGAAATAAATAAGTCACACATGTGTAAATACCGAATCGTTTCTCTGGTGTGAACAAACTATAATAGTACATAAGATCCTAATGAGACAAAAGACAATGTGAAATAGGAAGAAAAGGGCTAAAGGTTTAGGGAAAGTGGGCAGGGTAGAGAAAAGTAATAACAGAAAGAAAAAAATAGGAGAAAATTAAAAAATGGAAATAAAAAGTTTGTAAATGGGGAGGAGAAGAGGGGGTGAAGGGTGGACAGGGACAAGGGGTAAAAATGAGAACCAAGACCTGTGATGTAAAGGAAAAAGATCCCAATGATGAATGTAACTGTACTGTATGCCTAAAATGTACCAATAAACTCAATGAGGGAAAAAAATACAACTACTGTAAGACTTAGCAATCTCACAACTAGATAAATATTCAGAGGAAATGAATTCAGTATGTGGAAGAGAAAAAAAAGGTTGAAGAGGGGATCTTGAATGTTTTAACCACAGTAAAATAATAAATGTTTGGAGTGATAAATATTTATACTCTAGCTGAAACATTATACCTGAGCATAAATGTAATAAAGCATTAGATGGTATCTCATAAACAGGTATAATTTGTATGTATCCCTTTCTTAAAAAACTTCAAGGAGGGAAAATAGTTTTATTTGAATAGTTTATGAGTGAATCCATAGAACATGACTCAAATCACTCGCAAGAAACTACACAGAGCATATTTCTTTTCAAAAGAAGGAAAGAACAGCTATGTGGCAAAAGGTAAAACATGATGATTACAATGCCTATCACCAGTGGAATTTTTAAAAATCTTAGCAAATACTTAACAAAGATTGTGTAGAGGGAGTTTAACAGTAGAAATGTATAGGGCTCAAAATACCCTTTTCCAACTCTGAAACTGTTGAAAAAAAAAATATATATTCTATTAATTCACTTTTCCACATTTACTAGGGATAATGAAAGCAAAAGTAACGTAAATACATAGGACATTATTAGCCAGTAAATTCAACTTCTGCAAAAAATAGAAAGTTAGAAAATAATTTTCATTTTACTTCACTGTACTGTTCATTCTTTCTCAGCTGGGAAATGTTGAAGAATCAGTACAATTCTTGATCATTTAAGGCAAGGCTCACATAGTGCTTTTTCTGACTTACAAATATAATAATGTATTAAATTGGATTATCCATAGTATAGTATTATTTTCCCTGGGTTGTTCTTAAACTGTTTCATGTATATGGGCTAGATTGGTTAAGGACTTCTGGGTCAGCAGGCTTAAAAATATAATCTAACAGTTATTATAACTAGAACTACAGTTATTTCACTTAAAATTAACATCCAGAAATAGGAGGTTAAAATCTTGTTCAAAAGTTTAACGAAGTTATCAGTAACTTAGCCTCTTCCATTTACCCATGCTTCTTGACAAGTTGGCTTTTCTAGTTTTTGTTTTGTTTTTACTAGGTTTATTGCCTCATAGCTACAAGTTCCAAATATCACCACTGTATTGAAACGTAGGAAGCAAGTGGTGTTCTTATGAGGAAGTAAAACCTTTGCTGCAAGACACCTGGATTTCTCCTTAAATTCCATGGCCCTGAGAGATTCATATGGCTGTAAGTCGCAGTAAAAAATTCTATCAGGCCAGTAAGAGAGGCATAGACAAGAGAGCAGTTTAGAGCAGCCACTGTTTACTGCTAAAATGGTACATGTTGCTGTTTTAAAAAAACAAAAAACAGCAGGTTCTGATAACAGAAAAGAAAGAAGGTGGTATCGCATAAGCAGTCAGAAAGGTTTTCTCACGTAAATCTTATTCTTTCTAGGAAAATTAAATCTCCTGAGGATGAGACGATGAAAATTTCCCTTTGTTCCTAACCTATTTGATGCCAAGAGAAAACTCACCGTTTAGCAGTGAAAAAACATGCTGAATTTAATTGAGAAACTAGAAGAACAATTGTGTTTAAATTAAAATAGGTTGGTCTATTCATTTTTTCATCAGGGATCTTATTCATCTAATAAAGGTGAGCCTATTTGGGGAAAGAGAAAAAAGTTAATTGGCAAAAAGAAGCTGAATGAAAAAATAATCTTCAAAGTGAGACTGACTTGGTAAGAACCCTAGAGGAAGATGTTAACAGAGGCATGACTAGTAGATTTTATGCATAAAGACTAAACGGGGTAACCACATAGAAAAAATTGGGAGAAATAAAGGAAAGATCTTGACTTGTAAAATAATTCTTTTTACCTCATGAACATTATTTTTATGAGTATATTTGTTTTTGATTTTAATTTGTACATTAGTCAGATTTGTGAATTTCAATAAAACTACCTAATCTGTCACTTTTCTATTACATCAAGTTCATTGCTTCTTTGTTAGATTATATCCAAACTAGTTACAGTCCCAGACAATGATGTTTTGAATGATTTCACATACTGCTGTTTCTGTTCTAGGATTTCTTTTTTTTTTTTTTATACCAGGGGTCAAACTCAGGATCTTGCACTTACAAGGCAGTGTGGTGCCACTGCGCTAAATCCCTGGCCCTAGGATTTCTAAATTGCTTTATTTTTAAACATTCTCCTAAAAATCCTACCCCTTTACTTGTTTTATTTATTCTTTCTATAAATTATTTAACCTCATAATAATACAAAGCCTTTTTTATACTTGATCCATCTTTGGATTGGTTTTAATTGACTCTTTTTGCTCTTGAATATGGGTGTTCAATCCTAATTTTTCATAGTTATTGTAATTTTTATATCATTATGATATTAGAAATGGAAGGCTGTTGTGATACTAGATTTTTCTTTCCTTCTTGGCATCATTTTTAACACACATTTATATATTGGGGAGCCATTTTCATCTTGTAAAATCTTTTACTGGTCTTTGTGAGAGTCATGTTATTTTTTATTTTGCTCTCAATATGCAGGCATGACCTTTGCTGCTAATTTTATTTCAAACATATCACCCTTACATTCAGCCCCTCCACCGTGACAGAACGTCAACACAAAACTCTCCCTCTCTAGTATGGAAGCTAATCAAAGTTTTGTTCACACTTTAGCTTTGCATTTGTTGCTTTATTCTGGGCTCCTTGGAGTCTTGCTCTGCCCAATTATACTTCAACAATAAATTAGAGAATTGACATACAGATTTGTGGGGTTCCTCTTCTTTTAAAAAATATTTTCTACTTTTCAACTTTTAATCACTCTAGTTGTGCCACTCTCCAATATCCGACTGAGTATTCAAGACCACCTAGCACCCTTGTCTCTTGTGTTCACACAGGCTGGAGAGTTTAGCACTGGATAAACATGTTTTTGATTTTACCAAATTTACTTCTCGCATTCAAAATACTGTATTTAGGCTTATTTCTCTCTGCCTCTGATGCCTTTTTAATATCTTTCAGCAGTTTTTGTTCCTATGTTTGTCTAGAGCTAATAATTATTTCCATAAGAGAGTAGGTCTAATATATATATATATATATATATATATATGCACACACACATGTATACATATACACAAACATATATACACACATATGCATATACACACACATATACACACAAATACATATATACACATATATACACACATATACATACATACACACACAGACACACACACACACACAGACACACACACACACATATATATGTTTTTTTTTTGTTTTTTTTTGTTTTTTTTTTTTGGTACCAGGGATTGAATTCGGGTCCTTGCGCTTGCAAGGCAGGCCACCAAACCACTGAACTAAATGTCCGGCTAGAGTAGGTCCAATATTAGCTACTTCACAATAACCAGAAATGGAAGCCCCCCTTGTTATTAGATGTGGAAATGATGCTGGGCCTATGTTACAAGATGAGGGGCATTCTGTAATTTAACAAATACATACATTAGAGAGGAAATATGTATGTCTAGAACTGGCTTCAAATGGTACAAAAGTGGTGGAAGGAGATGATAAAACTGATAGAAGGTTAGCTATTGTTTGCTGGTCCTTGCTTACGGATTACGAATACATGAGGATTAAATATTGTATACTTATGGGTAGCACCAAAATTCTCCATAAGAATTAAAATAATCGACAACCCCTATCATGTAAAAGCTCATCTCAAAGGAGAAATTAAGGGATAAAATCAGAAACAAGTATAACACAAGACCACTACACAGGAAGTTATTTGAAGAAGTCAGATGTTTATAAATAAAAAATTATTCACCTGTACACAAACTTGCATTCATAAATATACACCCCCTGCCAAGCATCCACAGTTCTGTCAAAATAAAATGCATTTCATCCATTTTTATCTTTAAATGTTATTATAATATTTAATTACTTAGAAAAATAAATTCTTTAAGTGATAGATATTTATAAATACATGATTATATGAAATCAATATTCATGGGATAGTATGAAAACAGGAAGAACACTAATGTAAATTTACATGAACTGACTAATTCTGGATAAGAGATTTTTATATGAAAAACTAGCTATCAGAAAATCATATTAATAGTTTTATAATATTTTAAATAATTTTAAAGAGGTCTACTTTAGATTATTTTGGTACTGTCCTGAAACTAATGTTATGAAATTTCATTGCATTTTAAGCCTCTTCAAGATTTTGAATATTCTCAAAAATAACTCATCAAAAAGTATTAAACCATACAGTAAATTCAAAAACTGGAGGTGGCTATGCTTTATTTATTTAATTCTACCATGTTTAAAAAACTTAGAGAAAATGATTTTATAAATTCTGAAAATAGAATCAAAGCAAAATCAAAATATAAAATGTAAAATAATGAGATTAAAAAAAATACAAAGTACAGATTAATCAAAATACAGTATCCAGTTGTCCACTCAATGATAAATCAGAATTATAGATTGGCAGGTAAGTTTTTTTTAGTGAGAAAAGATTTACTGGCATTCTTTGTTTCCAAACAGTAAAGCTGTATTTACAATAAGAAGGCAGTTTTGTAGAGAATGTGGCATAATTTACTAGTCTGAAGGAATTACCTAAAAATGCAAAGTGGAAAACAATGGCCAGATAGAGTACATGAATCAGCACTATCACCAGTACTGCAAGGAATGAGAAAGAGCTTCCTAGGGAAAAATTGAGGTGCAGAAACCAGACGAAAGGAAACTGATGTAGATATGGAAAGAAAACAAATTAGGAGCCAACATCAGTATTGAGACATAGAAAGAGAGAGAGAGAGAGAGAGAGAGAGAGAAGGAGAAAGAAGGGAATTAGGGAATATGTTTCATAAAAATACGAGTAAAATATGCACCAGCATGCTAATTAATTAGACATGTAGGAAATGTCCTAGGATCAATCAGTAGGAATAAATTTTCCCTTCTGCTGCAACTGCTTAAATTACTCACTATGGCAATACTAGGCAATACAAAAACTAATTTTGAAAAGGAAAAGGATCTATTCACCTCTACAAGTGCATGAAGAGTAGTCACATGCCTGTACTAAGACCTTCTTTTAAAAATCTAAGAACCATTTTTGTCTGACATTCTTTTATAAGGAGTAAATAGAAGTTGAAGTTTTCATTTCTTTTTGGGAGAGGTAATTTGGTCATGAAAGAAACAAGTTCCACAATTGTGTTCCACAATTATGTTAATACATTCTTTGCTAATTAGATCAAAACTCAATTTGAGCTAGCTTATGGAAAAATAACAAGAAGTTGCTATAAAAACCCAAAGTTGTCCATGGTCCTAGTGTCCTCACCCTAGGACATGCATAGCAAGCATGGAAAGGGGAATAGGAAGTTACCTGGAACGAAGGAATCATTTTTGTCCATCTTATTACCCATTCCTTCTCTGGCTTCTGATATACCCACACTGCTGGAGACAGAATATAACTTGGGTCAGCCATCGTCCCACCCAGACAGAGTCAAATGTGTCCAAGAAAACACTAGAGCCTCCTATTTCAAAACTAACTGTAGAATCACAGTCCTAAATGCAGTAAGTACTAATAAGTTATTTGAATGAGCCAGAAGACTGCTTTCATCTGAATTATTGCATCCTCCAAAATTCATAGTTGAAATATTAGCCCCCAGTGTGGTGCTGGTAGGAGCTGGGGCTTTTGGAGGGGACTGGGTCACCGGGCCAGGCCATTAGGAATGGGATTCATTCCTTCATAAAAGAGAGCTGCTTTACCCCTTCCACCACGTGAAAATACAGAGAGAAAGTGCCACCTACAAGCAATGAGTCAGGCCCTCACCAGGCACAAAATCAATCTGTCAGCACCTTGATCTTGAACTACACAGTCTGCAGGACTGTGAGAAAGAAATTTCTGTTGCTTATGAGCCAATTCACTTAGAAATTTTTCATAAGTCTAAAGCCTCCTCCACATTTCTAACTGAAAGTTTAATGATTTTATTAATGCTAATGATCAGTACTTTCTTCATTTCATATTCCATTATTGCTTTCCTTTCAAAGTTGCCAAATTAAAATCAAGCCTCATTTTCGCCGGGCTTATTATACTTGTTTGATGGAATGAATATGATTGGGGCTCCTGACAACTTTGAACAGGTTGATCCTGGGAAGTCGTAGAAAGGAGCCATCACAAAAAGAATGCATTAAAAAAATAAAAGTCTGAAGATCAGGTGCATACTATCAGCTATAACTACTTCTTTATTAATAGCAAGCCAAAGGAGTTCAGCTCTCGCCTTTTCTAAACTTTTCATACTTCCTTCCAAGGAAACATACAATTTTGTTTGAGAAGTAATGACTCTTTTTCATCCTCAGGGTACGTTTCTGATGGTGAGAACAGTAATAATACTTGTATTATTTAAGCCATGTCTTCCTGGCTACAATGTTACTGAATGCTGCCTCTATAGGTTTCTGCTATTATTGAAGAGGGAATAAGTGATTCATTGTTACTTGACCTTTGACTTCTACAAAAACAAAGAGTAGAACTACCTAACTTTTATTGAGTCCTCACTGTGGTCCAGTCACTATTTTAGATAATTAGATGCTAACAATTTTATTAAACCTTCACAGCAACTTGATAGTTTAAGGATGATTATCTCTACTTTATTGAAGTTTTGAGGTTGGGTTGCTTGCACAATGTTAATACTGTACAGCTAGTAAATGTAAGAACTAGTACTAAAATTAATCATTAACAGTTCCTTGCTTATTTATAAAATATTTTATCTAGATCAATACTACTAGGTGGCCAATAGCTCATACTCATAACTGCCTAGATTCTCTTTCTATAATTTATGCTGTACCAGCTATCCTAAGCATCTACTACACATTTACCTTATGCACATTTCACAGGATTTAAGCCCTATTTTCATTTATTTTCGCCTCATCTCAGAGCTCCGTGGAGTTTGTACGTGCCTATTTGATAAGTAAGTTACTGTATAACTTATTCAGCATCTCTCACTTGAGTATGACATGAAGTGACACTGCGATCTGCCCCTCGTTGATGAACACAAAGTGTCTATAAGAAAGAAGAATACAAATACAGGTGTGACCTATGGAAACTGCAATCATACAGTCATTTCATATGTAGTAAAATTATACTTTGCTTATATTCTCTAGTGGAATTTAGTAAGTACACATTGTATGGGTTAGAGTAAGATGGAAAAATAAAAAGAAAGGGTTCCCACCTTATCATAGTTTTACTAATCCAATATTTTGATGAATGATTTACTGATGAAATTTCTTACAGATACATGGTTAGTTGCAAATGTGTCAGTTACTTCACTCAAGATTATCTAACATTCTCTAACAGAGCAGCACTTCCCTTCAAAAGACTCTCAAATAAAAGTCTTCAAAAACTCAGAGCCTTCTATTTTGTTTAAGAAACTTCTTTGCATTTTATATAAATTTCTTTCCAGGAAGATAAAGCATATTTTGTTTGCAGGATTTCATGATCTAAATCGTGATTCACTAATGTATTGCGAAGCATATTTTTTTCAGAAAATATAGCCATCATTAGACTCCAAAGGTATGCATTTTAAGTTCCTTAGAACTTGTCATATTTCTACTTTTTAATATCATTTGATTTCGGTACTATAGACATCTGCTACACAGCTCTTTTAACTTGCCATCAAGGCAAATCACTGAAAACTTGGGTTGCCATGGCAATGAAAGATTGCCCCCCATTGTTTTCCCATGCCAGTCATCTCCGCAGTGTTAGTCTGGCAGTGAGTGCTAACCAGTAGGGAAGTTAAGAACAGCATACCTTTGCAAAGCTTTAGATGTGAATCCTGCGATGGAACCACTCAGATGGAAAGGTCTGTTTCTATGGCAACAAGAACAGCTTCTATTGTTTTAGTCACTCATCACAGCAACATTTGCCTTGGGAAACTGTACTAAGCATTGCTAGCCACATTTTGTCATGGATTCAAGAGATTTTGCGGCAATGTTGCTATGGTTACCAGGTATTTTGTCTTAGGGGAAATCCTAAAATAAAGTAATCTCTCTGATTCCTGTATAAATTGTAAATAACTAGCAGTAGAATAAAAAGAAAACAAGTTGTGATAACTAACTCCCTTCTGGGACAATACTAACAAAATCCAGTTCTCTCTCTCTCTCTCTCTCTCTCTCTCTCTCTCTCTCTCTCTCATTCTTGATAGCAGTAGTGGGATATTAGAAAACAAGAGGCGAAAAAGAATGGCCACAAAAGATTAAAAAGAAGACCTAAGGTACATATAAAGTAATCGCGCACCATTTCTTTCAAAACTAAGAATAAGCCCCACGCAGTGGTGGTACACACCTGTAATCTCAGCAGTTAGGAGGCTAAGAAAGGAAGATCTTGGAGTTTGCCTGGGCAATTTAGCGAGACTCTGTCACAAAATCCATAATGAAAAGAGGCAACCCACTTTCTGGTCTCCCTTCTGTCTCTCTTAAACAGAATCTACCTTTCTCTCAATAAATTTTTCCTACTCTTAAAAAAAGTAAAAAAATAAAAAGCAAAAAACTTTGAGGATGTGGCTCCATGCAAAGGCCCTGGGATCAATTCCTAGAGCTGATGAAAAAGAACAAAACAAGAAAGAAAAAAACAAAAAGGCATGGAAAGAAACACAAGTACTGCATGATCTCACTCATATATGGAATGTAAAAAAGACGATATCATAGAAATTGACAGTGGAGCAGTGGTTACTGAGAAGTTTGTTAATAGTGAGATGTAATATTTAAATGAATGTAAATAGTAATGAAAATTTCTACTTCAGCTGTGGGCTTTCACAAATCTATGATTTTTGTATGTATTATCTGCATCGCTGCAAACATGTAATGAGCAACAAACTATCCTATGTAAGACTTGGGTAAAAAAAGGGAATACACATAACAATGTAGAATGCGTTGTTATTTCAGATTATTCTTTTGGAAAATACAACATAATGTACTTCACCCCAACTCAATTTTTTTGTCTAAAATTGGAATGGATGTGGACAAAGCTGATAGGATACAAAATAGCAGAGACGTGTATGAAATACCGGTTCTATCCATAAGGCAGAGACAGTGTATTGAGCTTATTAGAACAGAAGTCTGCCCTAACTCTCCAGGGACCTGTCTAAGGGGCTGTGTTCCCAACGAACTACACGTCTTAGCTCCAACCTGAGATTAAGTGCAATGAGTTGATGGGGAAACCGAGGTTTGCCATGGTTTTCTCTTTCTGTATTTTCGACATATGACACTAAAAGGTGTTTTTATAACATGAATACCAATCCCCCTCTATATTCCCAGCATACATATGTTCAGAGTTAAAAAGCAAAACCTATCTTAAAATACAAAGCAATTTTGCAAGACATGGTCAAGGAATGTTCAGGACAGGAAGCAGACAATCACAGACACGGAGGAATCTTACCCTGAACAGGCAGACACTGGATTAAGAGAAATCAAGGGCATTTACACATATGCATGTGCTTACCTAAATTTGTGCACATGTGTGTGAATGTAAATACACTAGGGCCGCACTAGTGCTTTTTCATAAATAGCTTTCTGCCACTGTCTTTTAAATGAATGAATGAATGCCAGACAGTAAAAATGAGTATCACCTGACCATTTTAGTTACAATTATGCATCTTAATTAAGAGTTTAGGATTTTCATGACTCATTTCCTTTACTACATTTTATGTTTGCTTAATACTCTAAGCATAACACATCTAATATAAAGTAATAAGATCATTTCATTATAAACAGGTAATACTCAATATCTACTTTTGCGCCTTGCACACAGATATTTTTTATATTGGTAAACTGGCTATCTAAACACTGTCATCTAACTAAGTGCTTTCCTCCTTCCACAATCCTAGGTTTCTTCCCTCCAGAAAGAGCCAAGAGACCATCCTGTGTAGTATGCTGGGTACTGGAGAATGAGGACAGCTGGAGATGGACTGGCCAACCATGCTGATCATACACACCCTACACATTGCTTCACACACAGGATGCTGCTTAAGTTATGTGCACGTTCATTTATCTCATTTGAGGGATAGGTTATGATCAATCAAAAGTAAATTTCATGCTTTCAAAAATTAGTCTAACTCATAACTTCTTTCACCAAGAGGTCATTAAGCCCCATTCGCATATGTTCTGAGTGCAATGGTTACTTTCATATGTAAATTTGGCTGGGCTAAAGAATGCCCAAGTAGCCAATAAACAATATTTCTACATATATTTATGGTGTATTTCCAGAAGAGATTAACATCTGAAGCAGTACTTATGAAAGAAGACTAAGCTCCTTAGTGTGGATGTGTACAACCAGGCCTTGTGGGCTAAACACAACCAAAGGGTAGAAGGCAGACATATTTTTTCTCTGTTTGTTGGAGCTCAAATATCCATCTCCTTCTGCCACCAGAAATCAGGCCTTTACTGCACAGGCTTTTGAACTTGAACTGATTTTACCCATTGGCCTTCCTGGCTTCCAGTCTGTAGGTGGTGTATTGCAGGACTTCTTGACCTTAATTATTTTGTGAGCCAATTTCCAAAGTAAAAATGTCTCTCTTTTTTGCATGCGCCTGTGTATACACACACACACACACACACACACACACACTAACTTATCAATACATGTATCAACATTCACTCACACATATGTGGAGTGTCTCTATATCATCTACCTACTGGATCTGTCTATTTATCCATTTATCTACCTCTTTCCTATTGGCCCTTTTTCTCTGGAGAGCCTTAACTACAGATACTCTAACATGCAGCAGAGAGACAAGAATAACAGTGTCTTCAAGAATAAGAAAGATCCTATGATCTGACCACTACCCCCAGACAATCTTGATATTAGACTGTTTCAGCTTGACAGAACTTTCCTCCTCTTGTTCCTAATGTCTACTCTCTCTTCAAGACCCAAATCTATGGCATTTTAGCCTCTGAGAGTGGGTGTAGTACCCTTTCTCTGCATTATCATAACAGTTTATCTGTAACTTTATCATGGAACCAACTAGATTGATACCATGAATCATATTTTATTTGGAAATACAGAGGTACTTCAGTTCATAAATGGTTTTTTGCAACCAATTTGGTCTACAAACAGAAGTGTTTGGCAAATTTTTTTTTTGTTTACAAATTCTACATTGGGTAGCAAGCAGGACTACAGCCATCTCTCCCAGATGAACACAAACATGGCCGTCTCTTCCAGAATTGTGCAACTATTGTACCACTATTGTCATGTATATATATATATATTTATGCACATATATACACAGTTATACAGAGAAATACAGAGAAAACATCTGTATCCTTCAATTTTTGCCAATGCCAATATCTTATAATATCATGACCAAGATACTAACTTTGATGTAGTGAGACAAAGAAGTTCCATCAAAAGGAAGATACTTTATACAATGTCCTTTTATAACCAAATTTGGTTCCCTCCTACATTTAAACCAGCTATCCCATTGGGTAACCACTGGTCACCATTAATTTATTCTCTATTTCCATAATCTTGTTATTTCAATAAGGTTATGTAAATGGATCCTATGGCATGCAAGCTTTTCAGACAATTTTTTCACTATGCACAATTATCTAGAAATTATTTCACAACATCCAGGTTGTCATGTGCACCAATAAATAACATACCCATGTTTAACCATTCATCTCTTGAAGGATTGTTTCAATGTTGTACTAATTGTATTAATAATGCTATAAATATTCATATAAAATGTTCTTTGTGAGCATTTCCATTTCTCTGGAATAAGTGGCCAAAAATACAATCCCTGGGTTGCATGTAGTCACATGTTCAGGTATTTAGGAAACCATGAAACTGCCATTTTATCCTCCCATTCTCATTACCATGCATAGATGAGGTGACTTTTTCATATTCTCTATAGCACTGAGGATTTGTATCATTGCTTTATTTTCATATTAATCATTTTACTAAAATGCAGACTCACAATGCAATATGAGAAATGCTAAAATAGAAATAAATATACTGATCAAAGAAAAGTAGAAAAAGTCTCTAAACAATCTTGAATAAGGACTCAGAGAAGTCTTAGAGGAAAAGAAGCTAGCAAAAATACTAATGCTAATCAGGCTGAAGCAAAGGATGAGCAGCACCCATCCTGGAGTAAAGGTAAAGAAAAATATCTAAAAGAAGTCATATATACCAATTCCTGGAAACTTGGGAACATACAAATAACTTGTAATGGTCAGCAGGCAGTAAAAGATTTGATCAGACAAAAGTGGGAAAATGGGAAGAAATCAAATAACAAAGAGCTTTGTATGCTTTGATAAGAATTATATATTATCTGATCATAGAGCCTTCGAGAGGAGAGATGTTGGTATCATTTAGAAATACACCTACCTTCTCTTCTCATCTGGCACTTTCTTAATTTATACCATTGATGTGTGGGCAAGCAAAAAAAATGGTGAAGGAAATCAAGGGGATGATCAAAGACATAGGCGTGTTTTGTAGCCTGATGTATAGGATGCCAAGTGAAATGGGAAGCTATGAGTCAACAATGATATCCATAGACCAAATCTGATCAACTTCCTGTATAAACCATCCTTGGAATACAACCTTGTTTACTCATGTACATATTGGCCATGAGAGTTTTTGCAGAAGTGAGTATTTGAGATAGATAATTCTAGAAAAAAAGAAGAGTTTATTAGGAAAAAAACCTCTCAGGCATACCCTAGTCAGTAAAAAGATTCTTGGTTACTCTCAAAATGTTGCTAAATACAAAGGATGAGATGAAAGGAAGTAGAAAGAGTAAATGCAGGATACACTTATCCCTAACTGATGTATCCTGTCTCCTCCCAATCCACACCCATAATACATAGTATCTCCACTCA